AGCAGGCCTGGGGCAGTTACCACAAATACTGATCTAAATTTCATACGTAAGGCCTGTACTGAGACTCTCAAAAGTTTAAATGCTTTGCAGCTTCTTTGAAACTCAGATTACTCAACTCTTTCTTGTGCTTCACTAAATACTTTTTGACACTGGAACTAGAGGTCCAAGTGTATTGCCTCAGAGCCCATCCAATTGCCTTTCTGATGAAAAACTCTTCCTCCTCAGCCCTTAGACTGCAGAATCGAAACAACATCTCCTCGTCGGTTTCCTCTTTGTAAGAAAGCTGATGCAGTATGGCAGTTCTCCTGAGCCACATATTTTCATGATCAATCCACTCTTCCATCACATTTCTTCCGATATCTCGATGTTTCCTCACGAGCCCGCCAACAAGTTTATTAGCGAGGGCGTCTACTGTATCCCACCAAGACTTCGATGTGATCAAGCCTTTGATGCACTCTATGTTTGCTTCAAATTCTGCTGAGGTATCCATGTGCTTCTCAAGATAATCGACGGCAAAGTATTGGAATTCTCGTTGTGGCTTAGCCCACAAAAGTGCAACAAACTTTCTAGTCTCTTGTGGTGACAGTTTCTGCTGCAGGAATTCTTTACAAACGCTTCTTCTAAGAGGGCTGCTAAGACCAAAGAACTCGAATTTGTCCCTCATGTATTTCTTCATGGGCTGACTTCTCTTAGGATCGGCATTCTTGCGAAGTTCTCTTCCTACTTTCTCGACCAAGGTCGTCACCTTGTTTGAATTTAAACTCTCATTTCCTAATGTTTGGTCATCATTTTCAACTTTTCGTCGCTTTTTCTTCGACTCGGCAGTCGAAACAGCTCTCCTTTTACTCATCACAGTGGAACAACCTTGCTTAAAGCCCTTGAAGAAAGAACAAGAGTACAAATTACTCACTTTTCGTAGAATACCCCTGTGCACACCCATTTACCAAAGTCACGCTCAAATTAGCATAATCACGCAACGAGGGACTGTTGATGACTGCTATTTGATGTAGGCACTTGACGGGCGCATGCCACACCGGTATTCCAAACCCTCGTGGCAAAAAATTATGGATGACTGAATGAATACATTGTTTGTGTTCAGAAATTTATTTCCCAGAACGTTATTTTGTGCCAGAAAACTAACCCAGGGACGGAGCTGCCTCCCAAAATTTTACAGTCCTATCTGCCGTGTTCCTGATTCGTCTTTCTTCAGTTTCAAAAACGATTTTAAATCAAGACTCTTCGTAGGAATACAGAAGATGTCTAATGCTAGTGGAGAAAATTCAAGCCTTTTAGACAATTTACGGAAATCAGTGAAGGAACAGGTACGTGCAAATATTTCTCGCTGCTAGCATTGCAAATTTATGTCCCTGAACATTTTTTAAGTCCGCTTGTTTTGGTATTCTTCCTACATGCATACGCATGAATTTCAGCTTTCCATATTCGGAAACTTAAACGGAAGTGAAAGTTCTTCGTCGCGGAAACCTGTTTCGTGAATATTTTCAGTGATAAATTAGTATTTGTCACTTATTTTAGGCTTGTTTTCTCGATTAATTAAGATAAACGGATTTTTCAATTTTAATTTTTTAAATGATGTCTATCGTAATGTTATCTGAATCGAATAAGCTTTAATATTGTGTACAAATTAGGTATTGCATCATCCTAGTATAGTCTTTTTTACCTGGAGGGGATTGGGCAAGAACCTATTGTAGGAATAAAAGGGGCTAGAACCTTATGGGGGAGGGTGAGAAGTCAGACTCCTGAGATGGCTGCAACTAGAAGAAAATATTTCTCACCTTCCTCTGATAACCATCCATGCCATTCCTTATTTTTTTAGTCGGGATCATTTGCGGTCCAATATGGGGATCATTTCCGGTCCGGGATCATTTGCGGTCCTGGATCATTTGCGGTCCTGGGATCATTTGCGGNGGGGGGGGGGGGGGGGGGGGGGGGGGGAGATACTCCCCATGAAGGCCTACCATATTAGGAGGCTCCACCAAAAAGGGGTACCTTTTTCAGGCTTGAGGAATATGAAAGGATAGGGATTTCACAAGTTGAAGTATATGAAACGGTAGGGAAATCTGTCATTTGGGGCCTTTAAATGAAAATTTCTTTTTGTGAATTTTCAACTGCAGGGTGACTTGGTAAGGAAGCTTAAATCAGAAAATGCTCCAGCACCTGATATTGAGGTGGCCATTAAAGAGCTGAAAGTCAGGAAGAAAGCTCTTGAGAACAAGGTATCTTATTCCACCCTTTAATTCTCAAAAGATAGCAACATATTAATTTCTCCAGATAGTAATATATGTGCATTGATGTTAGACTTGGGGGTGAGAATAGGAACAAATGTCAACCATCAGATATTGCCTTGGTGTCAGCAAGTTTTCAGACTCAATTGTACCATTGTAAAATCTCTGCATGCCACACCAAGAAGAGTTTATCAAAATAGATATTAATGTTTTTCATTTCTTTGGGCTAAATTGCTGCTACTTACAATGTTAAGCTGAGTTTCGTTTATCTATTTATTATCATTTTATTAGGAGAAAGAACTAGCACCAAAACAAGAGAAATTTGACAGAGCAAAATTAGAGGATTTATTGAAGAGACGATTCTTTTTTGTTCCTTCCTTCGAAATTTATGGAGGTTTGTGTGTACTTGGACAATTTGTATTGTAACAGAAACAACGTGATGTGTTCTTCTAGAAGTTTTAGTTTTGTTGTTTATAGAAAACTGTTGAATAGTTGAATTCAGTTATCATTTGGTTTTGTAGGCGTCGCTGGTCTTTATGACTATGGACCGTCTGGTTGTGCCATGGAGGCCAACATGATCAACATATGGAAATCACACTTTGTTTTGGAAGAACAAATGTTAGAAATCAGAGCTTCACTTCTTACACCTCATCAAGTTCTGAAGTAAGTGTGCAACTGAAGCTATAAAGATTGTCAGGAAAGAACAAGAAACACACACAAAAAACTACAAGGATTAGAATTATAGTTTTAATTATTCTTGTGATAAATTTAATTAAATGTGTCATGTAAAAAATAAAAAAATGAAAATAAATTTAAATAAATATCTTCTAATAATTGACCTCTACCACTGTGTAACAGGGGTTTCATTAATATTATCATCAGGGGGGCAACTGGTTTTTACAGGCAGGTACAACTATCTGAACTGAATGTCTTAATAAGAAAAACTCACCAATAGATGGTTAAACTGGGTGGGCAAAATCATTCTCACAGCTGGTCAATTTGCCCAGTGTCTGGTCTTTAACGAAACCCTGGAAATTATGAAAACAAATCCTGGTTCAAAAACACAACTTACATGATTTTTAAAACCCCAACTGGTAGGAGGTAGACAGTACACTATTTAAGAGCGTGACCAAGGAGCTGAAATCTGGATACAGAGAACAACACCAGCTAGTGGTAAGAATGGGATTTGAACCATGACCTCCAAATTTTGAAACCAGTGCTCTAAACCCCGCCCCAGCTTCCCTGCACACTCAAGGATGTGGTCTAAGAAAAATTACAAGGAGCCCAAAGGTTTCTAACTATGACATCCTGGGTGCCCAGCACTTAAGAGTGTATGAAAAAGTAAGATTTCCAGTCGCCCAAAAGCAAAAGTTAGTTGTGTGTGGCACCCAGGTGCTTCTAGAGCACAACCCCTTTGCCGGAGTGCTTACCTGAATTCCAATGTTATCTGGATTATTCCTCTAGTAGGAAAAAACCTGATCATGATTGAGCAAGCACAATTCTCTTAAAACGTTGCTTATAGGATCCAAGAACTTATTAAGAGTGTTTTGTTACTTGTAGAGCATCTGGTCATGTAGACAGATTTGCTGATTTTATGGTCAAGGATGTCAAGACTGGCGACTGTTACAGAGCTGATCATCTTTTAGAAGGTCATCTATCACTTCAAGTTGAAACCTATTAAATAAAGTTTTGATTTTGGTCAATTTTTAAATTGACTACATGTATCATAATGACTCGCAATATTTAACAATCAAAAATAAGGATAAAGCTAGTTAGGGTATATAATATTCATGGCAGTGTGATTCTTTTGTTGTCAAGTTGCCAAAGAGTGTTTGAATTACATTTTGTAATCATTCCATTGTCTGTTTGTTTAATGAAGGTCACCTTGAAAAGCTATTAGCTGATAAGAAACTGGATGAAGGAAAAAGGAAGGAATTTGAAAGTGTTATTGGGCAGGTAATAACATGAGCTTATTTACTGAGTAGTAAAGGGCCAGATAAGGGAAATTTGAAGCTTGAAGTCATACCATAATGATAATAATATTAAGTAGTTTATCAATACTCTCTGGCAGTATTAGACTGAATTAATGAGCTAGGTTTACAAAAAATAAGTACCATAGAGACTAAGTACAGCAATGTTCAAAGTGACGGGAAGCCAGATATTTTTTTAAGATTGCTTGCTGCATGTTTTTCTCTTGAAAATCAGAGGGAGACTGGGAAGGGGTTCTAAGATGAAAAGAGACTGGGAGGAGACAATGGCAAGAAAAGGGTTTGGTATGCATTTTGCCCTGTTAGTGTCATATTCACCAAAATAAAGGCCTGTCAGACCATAAGAGAAAAGACTGACTGCAACTTGGAAGGTCTAATATTTTCCTGTCTGACACGAGCTAATTAACTCATGAAAAAACTTTGACGTTGACCATTGGTTTTGTTGGAAAAGTTGCAAAAATTTCTTAAAAGTTTTAAGTCAGTGACTGTTCATTGATTTACTTATGATGACTGTGGCCTGTTTATGTTTCTTCAGATTGACAACTATGGAATGACAGAACTTGGCGAACTGCTACAAAAGTACAATGCCAAGTCTCCAGTGACAGGAAATGACTTGACTGACCCTGTGGAGTTCAATTTGATGTTTACAACTTCAATTGGTCCCAGTGGGCTCATTCCTGGGTAAGGGACATCTTGCCTTGTTGCTCAAATAATGTCCTTGGTGTTTGTACAAAAGGTTATCAGTTTAATAAAAGGAAATCATCTTGAATGCTTGAATGGAAAATTTAGTGAAGGAGCCAAAAATGTCTTAAAAAATGTCTTGTTTTTTTTCATACACAGTTACCTTAGACCAGAAACAGCTCAGGGGATCTTTGTTAACTTCAAGCGGCTTTTGGAAGTTAATAACGGAAGGCTACCATTTGCTGCTGCTCAAATTGGACCTGCCTTTAGGAATGAGATCTCACCTCGAGCAGGACTATTAAGAGTAAGGTAAGAGAATGTTACATTTCCCTTCATGTTCATTGCTGCAGTAGCGTAAACTGCTTAGTGCTCTAGTGTCCTGATCAAATAGTCTGGGATCATCGTGTTGTGTTTTTGGGCAAGATGCTTTACCACCTTAATGGGTTTCAACAAATTTTTGCTGTATCAGCCTGCCAGAATGAGCTAGAATTCTAGGGGTAACCTGTGCTGTGCTAACATCCCATCCAGGAGGGGAAGTGCCTACTGTTACCTACAAAGCCAAAATTAAATTAACCCCTTGGGCCCTCAATCAGATCTTTACAGTATATACCAACATTTTAATTAAATTATTGAACTATAGTGGACTTTCTTCTTTTTCTAACTAAAAAAACTGTGAGGATAATTATATTGTTAGCTCAAACACAAAACAACAACTTATGCTGTAGTAAAATTAACTAAAGGTAGTTCACTGGACACATGCTAGATGGACGTGGTGTGTAGATAGACTCACAAAAGACCTTTTTGCACTTGGGCTGTTTGTTGCCCCATTTCAGATGATGCAATGATACTCTTGAGAATTCCTTGCTTTCAAATTTTCTCATAGTTGCATGTGTATAAATGAATAATTTTACATGGATAAAAGAACAATTCCCTAGAGAATATCATGTGGTCGGTAATGGGAAAACAAACCGCCCAAGCTAAAAAGTTCTGTTGTGGGCCCTGTTTTTAAAAATACTACTAACGTAACATTTAACGATATTTTGTTGTTGTTTGCATTTAGAGAATTTACTCTTGCTGAAATTGAACACTTTGTTGATCCATGTGACAAAAACCATCCCAAGTTTGAGAATGTGAGTTCTCAAAAAGTCACACTGTATCCATCAGAGAATCAGATTGAAGGGAAACCCACTGTGAATATCAGTTTAGGGGATGCAGTCAATCAGGTCAGTGGTAATTTATCACATGGTTTCTCTCTTGTTGCCAGGGGAACCCTTTCACGCAATTCTTTTTCAATGTCATGCAGGGCACTTGATATGCCACACATATTAATAATGTACTATGCAATTCATTTGCTACATGGAAAGGAGTTACGGTAATGTTTGTTGTTTTAAGAACTCTGTTTACACGTACAATACTGTTAATTAATTTGTTACTTTACTTTGCAACTTACAACTGGTGCTAAAAATGCTACCTGCATTTCATTGATCACCAGAAAATTGTTAGTTCCCAGACCATGGGGTACTTTCTTGGCCGAGTGTACCTGTTCCTCTTGAAGGTTGGGGCCGACCCTAGCAAGATTCGCTTCAGACAACACATGTTCAATGAGATGGCGCATTATGCATGTGACTGCTGGGATGCAGAACTCCTCACCTCCTATGTGAGTATATTTTTCCCTACTGGATTTGGGTGAAAAAAGGTTTTGTAACACATGTAAAGAATTGCGTGATTTTCTGCATTTTTGGGGGGCTCCTTTTGATGTTCTGTGAAAAATTAAATTCTTTGCATTATACCAGATTGGGAAAACAAGATTCACTGAGCAAACACTTAGCTATTTGTCAGCTTGAAGTATGCAGTTTTCATTTGAGTGTCAAAAAGTTCCATGCTACACGATTGGCTCAAAAAACTCACACCACTTTGTCAACCAATCAGAAGTAATTCAAAACCAATCGCGACTCGTTCCCACTTGTTTTCCCACACTTTGCATCAGCTACATGTAATTACTTCGAGTTTTGATTGGTTCATTGGATTGTCTGTGTCCTTTGTGATTGGCTAGAGTGATTATGAGGAAGTAAACTCAGGGGTAAATATTGAAGTTTAATTTATCACTAACAAACGTTTTTCTGTTTACTTCAGGGCTGGATAGAGTGTGTAGGATGTGCTGACAGGGCCTGCTATGACCTGTCAGTTCACACGAAAGCGGCCGGTGAAAAGCTTGTTGCTCAAGCTGATCTTGCACAGCCTGTATCCTTTCTTGCTACCAGCAAAAACTCTTCCAAACATGTTTAATTTCATGGCGTAGTTGTGAAGAACACTTTTTTTTGTAAGAATGTCTGCCTTTGGGACTAAGCCTGAAGGTTCTTGGTGGTTATTAATTTTTTTGCCAGTTTTGCCTGACATGTTTGTTAAAATTTTCTTTAAAATGATTTTCAGTTTTTAACTTTTTAGGAGTTTACAAACAACCATTTTGTTAGGTAAAGGACAAACAACAACCGAAGATGTTTTACAATGAACCATGCAGTTTTTAAGACAAGCTCATTGTTTTTGTCCAAATGTCCCCTTACAGTGGCTGGCAACAGTTTCCAGCACTTTCCAAGACAGATTTCGATTTTTTGATTTTTCAATTTTCAAAATTTTAAAGTGGCTCTGGACCTCATCTACAGATTTTTATAAACTTTGCCAAAACGTGCAACTTATTCTGTTAATCGTATCTATAACAGAATTCTCGATCGTGATTGGTTCTCCACGCGCCTATTTATCACGCAATCTGCGCGCAATCACGTGGGTGTCTAATTACAGGTATTCAATTTGAATTTTTTGTAATTGGATACCTGTAATTGGTTACCCACGTGATTCGCACGTCAATTACGCGCACTTTAATGGCTTCCTTCGCAATGTTTCGCACAGTTTTCAAAACTTATGAAAAGCACTACAGACGTTTCCGTTCAAAATAAAATCTTAAAAGACATTTTAAATTTATACGATACGATTAATTAGTAATTGGACCCCGTGTCGTACAATTCAGGGAGTAATCGTGCTCGTAATTTCAAATCGGACTCGCGCGATTACTCCCCGAATAGTACTCCACTCGATCCAATTACTATTACTGATCAAAATTCGACGATAACAAATTGAAGTCACCGAGCTCGTTTTTGAGTTATTAGCAGTTAAGTTTAAATTAAGAGTGCGTTTAGCAATTCATACTGTTGCTGTGGAAACCCATTGTGTCATAAAAATGATATCGAGTGCAGACTAAATTTTACATTTTACCAGAGGAAACTTGAAAAATAAACTTCCGCTAGGGACAGTCTGCCTGGGATTTGTTGTTAGTTTGTTCTTAAAATCTGCTTAATCTCAGCCTCAACGAGCCACAACGTCGTTATAAAAAAAAAAGGATTCGAACCATCGGATCAAAAACTTCATGCACATTGATTATCTCTGATAGAAGTAAATGTTCCATCCTTGACTGACAATGTTTAGGAAATGATCGACGTGGTTGAGATAGTTCCAGAGAAACCAGCCATAGGGAAAGCATTTAAAAAGGAAGGAAAAATTGTAATGGATTATCTGGCTCAGATGGACAAAGATAGTATCAAGGAATTTGAGGACAAACTCAATGGAAATGGGTGGGTATTAAAAAAACAGATACTAGGTCTGCTTAGAGTGAATGTTGTTGGTTTTTCCAATACCCTCATTTGAGCGGTTTTCATTTGAATGCCGAAAAGTATTTGGTTTTGCATCAACCACGTTACACGATTGGCTTAAAAAACTCACGCCACTTTTTCATCCAATCAAAAGTAAAACCAATCGTGACTCGCTCGCACTCGTTTTCCCGCGCTTTGCGTCAGCTTCATGTAATTACCTCGAGTTTCGATTGGTTCATTGGATTGTCTGTGTCCTTTGTGATTGGCTAGAGTGATTACTTTGGTTTTGGTTTTACGGTTTTACGACACTTCCTGACGGCAGCATTAGAGCGGTTGTAAACTGAGGGTCGAAAAACCAATACCAAACCAATTACTCACCAATTAGACTACTCAGCCAATCTTGAACCGTAGTAAAACCAAAACCAAAACCAAAACCAAAGTAATTGCCTGATTACTTTTGACACTCAATTGAAAACCGCTCTATTAGTAGGAAATTCTTGCATAAGAAAGGAACTCATTTCCTAAAGTAGAGAAATTTCATTGGTTGGGAAAAACTAAAATGTCGGCCGTGACGTCTTGTGAAAACGCACTTGAGCTTATTTAACTCAGTTTTTGTAAGTTTTTTTTGTCAGTTAACCGTCTCAAACTTCGCCAGTTTTAACTGTTCCATGTTGTTGCTAAGAGAACTTAGGACTTGATCCTGACTAACTACTGTTTCTTCATTTCATACTCAGTGAGGTGAGCATAACAGTAGACAACAAAGAATTCAACATTCAAAAGGGCATGATCAGAGAAATCAAGCGATACCAGAAAGAAGTTCACGGTAAGTGAAGAGAATATCTCTGATTTATTTTAAGTCGTTTCATATGTGACCTTCTAATTTAATAATTGGATTATGAGCTCGAGATTTCTATCCCGTGATAGTTGACAAGCACGCAGCTTGAGTCATTTGTCACGCATAGAAATCCAGGGCGAATAATCTAATTGATTAGTTTAAATCTGCTAGTCGTTCAAACTTTATCTTAATCCTCGTCTGACTTCATAGACAAATGCTTCGAAAGCGCCAAGAAGCGGCCGCTGTTTTGATAACAACTGCACACTGCTAGGCTACTCACTATCTACAAAAGAATACATTTCGAGTAGCGTAGCCAATAAGAGAACGGCATTCGTGATAGAACGCTAGTAGATTTATTCTAATATGAATTACATGAAGCCAACTGTCCCTTGTGTTCCTTACAGTTCGTGACGTAGAACCCCACGTGATTGAGCCATCTTTTGGAGTTGGTAGAATTATGTACGCTGTCCTTGAACACAACTTTAAAATCCGAGAAGGAGACGAGCAAAGAACGGTGAGGAACAATGCCTGTTTTATTAATTTGTCTTGTTTGAATTTCCTTGATGAACTTATTACCAGCTGCTTTTCTGCTTTTAATGATCTTTTCCCCTTAATTTCTTATCTCGTTATCTCCTCAACTTTCATCCCATTTCGTAGAGTTTACCAATAGAGTGTTTCCACATGACGTCACGGCAGCCATATTTGGTGGTCCAAAATAATGAAACAGCGGCCATGTTGGTGTACCAAACCAATCCTGTGGGAGTTGAACTCTTTTCTTGTGTAAACACTTTTTTGTTCCAAAAATTTGCATGACTGTTGGCCACGTGGGTGAAAACGCCCTATATTGACCTTGCAGAGTCGTTTTTAGATATAGTTGATGATATTTTTGGTATTTTTTCGTCCACAGTGGCTATCTCTTCCTCCTGCTGTGGCTCCTGTCAAGTGCTCTGTGTTACCGCTAAGCAAAAACAAAGAATTTGATCAATTTGTCAAGAAACTCTGTAAGTGGTTTCCTCTTCCTCTCACTGTATTAGAAGTCTGTAATACTTGTGTTAAGTCATTGTCTCCAGGCGTCAGTTACCTATAAGCCCTGTCGTGATCATACAATTTGCTTTAAAATTCATCGCTGGTGAAACATAACCATTGGCCACTTTGTCGCCAGTTTTATGTTATACGCTGAACACTGAGTCAAGCGTATGCAAAGTTTCAAACGAATCCGACCTTTACTCAGTCACTATAACACGAAGCGACTTCTAGTATTGCTATTCCCCCTGGATGCTAGTCCATCGCAGGTCAAACCCCCCGTACCCCCGCGGCATTTGATTTGTCCCCCTGGGTGGATAGAGCCGCCGTTAAAAACGTTTATTTTTTTAGAACGCAGCATAACCTCGGTCAGGACTAGAACCCAGACTACGGCTCGTAAAGCAATCTTTCCTCCCTCGGTCGTTGGGAAAGAGTGCGCGACAAGCCATAAGAGGCTATGAGGCAGATAAGCTTCTCAAATCATTTCGATTTTTTTGTTCTCTTCCAAAGCCGAGTCACTGACAGAGCTGGATATTTCTCACAAAGTGGATGACTCTAGTGGTTCTATTGGCCGGCGTTATGCGCGTACCGACGAGATTGCCATCCCCTTCGGTATCACCGTGGATTTTGATACTGTCAACAAGGAACCCCACAGCGCCACTCTGAGAGAAAGAAACTCCACTCGCCAAATACGCGCCCAGGTGAGTGTTTAATCGCATACTCATAAATGCCTCGCATTTCATTTTCCCCCACAAGGGACACGTCTGGGATCTACCCTCAAATAGTGAAGAGCATTATCTTAGTTGACTTCCATGCATTTTTGTGCTGGACATCGTTTTCCTGTCGTAAAAAGATTCTTTTTTCAACAAGACGTTTTCGTACAATTAAGCGAGTAGGAAAACAGCTAGTCTTCTAGCCATCATAGAGTGCCCCCCCCCCCCGCATCATTTTGTCAGATTGGTCTAAGGCCGCAGCTAGTAACTGCGCCACTTGCCTCATTCATTTGTTTTTCGTTTTTGTTGTTTTTAGTCATTATAAACGCCCTAAATACCTAGAAAGAGAATTAAACCATGGACATTGCTTCAGTCATAATTTTTCCATGGGCATGGCTTCAATCCTATTTTTTACCGGTTACTAGGTTCGGCTGCGCCTCGCCGATTTCGTAAAGAGAACTGTCTTGTTTTTTAGTCACTCCTGGGATTGACATTCACTTTCCTTTTTTTTAGATCGACGAGCTTCCCGCTATCGTCAGCAGTCTTGTCCGCGGCAAAGTCACGTGGCCAGAAATTGAGGCTAAATATGGTCTGTTCGAAGGACAGGAGACTGGCGCGAAGTAGACTACTCAGGTGGTCTACCAAAACCTGCAAATAAAATGAATTTTAGTCGAGGGAAATATATTCACATCGGACATTCGGCAGGTCCTCGCTCGGAACCCGGAGAGTTGCCGATAGCTACCAAACTTTTTACTTCGGCTTTAATTGTCCACTGGTCTAGTTGCTAAGCAACCTCCTGATAACTGCGAGCTCAGCCAGGTATATTTCTCTCGACTGACATAGACACAACTGAGCTACGCAATGAGAAAATAAACACTTATTCAATCGAATTGTGATGGAGTGAATAGCCGTTTCTTTATCATATAAACTCTTGGTCTTCGGCCATCGTAGCTTGATTAAAAATATAAAA